ATTCCTCTGGTGGTTTCTAATTAATTGGACAGCTGTCCGGCTAAGCCGCCGCATATGGTAACCGCACACAAAGTTGGCGAGCAGCTTCACCCAATTGGAAATGGGGTTTTTGGGCTCAATTAGCCGCCGGTTCGGTTCGGGGCCAACTTCTGATGACGGCCAAAACCTCAAACCAGCACGCTGACCCATTAATTTAACTCGTTGGCGCTGACTTTTATTTGGACATTTGTTGGGCCTCCTCCTCGCCGTCTAATTAATTGTATTCGGACATGCAAAACTGTCGAAAATCCATTCAATCGCATGCAAGCGCAAAGGTCGCAGGTCAGTCGGCCATTTGGCCAGATATTTTGCCATTTCATCCAATCTGTGAGCTCCATTGGCGCTGATTGCATTCTCCACGACTCTCGCACCCTCACCTGGCTGGGCGAGCGATTAATTAAAAATTCAAATGACTGCGACTGAAGCTAAATAGATACTGTGAAGTAATCCGAATGTCAGCGCAAAGGCAAATCAAATGGAGGAACGATTGAACAACCGGAGCCACTCGCTCGAAGGTAAAGAGTACAAATGGAAAGTGAACGAAATGCAAACTTTTTCCACGTCATTTTTAATGAATTTTCAACAAAATGTGCCAAGCGGGGCTCCGGAAAAGGATCGGCCGGACGATTGCCGATTGCATCACCCACACCCCCCATCCTGCCCAGCGTTTCACCCAAATTGATAATAATTTGCACGTTGATTGAGCGGCAATGGCGAAGGAAAGCGAAAAAGTGGAAAGCGCTCTGAGCGAGCGTAATTAAAAAGATGCCGACCGAAGGTCAATCAATCGCAGCTAATGGAAACTGTATAAAGTAGAAAGTGAGTTTCCTAAACAGCGAGGAAGCCTTAAATTTCGACCCACCTGGGTCTGGGCCCTTCAATTTCGAAACGACGACAACAACGCGCACTGAATTCCAAATTAATTTTCAACGACAAGTTTCAAGCACTCCCCAGCCCCCTGCTTTCTGAAGACCACATAAAAATCCCATGGGACAGGAGTACCCTGTAAAAATGCGGGCCACTAGGGCGTATGAGTTACAAACGCCAGCTGGCCATGCAAATGCCTCAGAAAGGCTTGCCGCCCGGCCAGCCACTCGGTCCAACATTGCCGCACACAAAGTTATTGCCTGCTTGTTTTGTTATTATATTATTTGCAACAAACAAAAGCTGCCCCATGCCACAGCATCTCTTGCGGCTCTCGCTTGGCTAAAATCAACTTCTGCAGCTGACTTTTGAGCGAAAACTTTTCCTTAAAGCTGTAAGAGCGAAAGAGCTGGGGTTGGTTAGCCGATGCCAAGGAGCAAAGTGCACTGGGAAAAAAGTTTGACTAAATGCTGTTCAATAGGAAATGATTAAAGATAATAAAAATAATAATATGGAACTTTAAGGGTAAATTTCTATTTATGTACAGTAGTTTTCCTACATTGGTATGATTTATTTCAGGTCATATTTTCTTGTTCTATTATATCGAATAATTATTTAATAATTAATTAATTAACTCGTCAATTACGACTGCTCGAAGTTTTCGCCTTCTCATCATTTACTTATATCAACATTTATTTATGAATAGTTTCCTTTTCTTCTTTAAAAAGTAACTTGCACTTTGGTTTAATTAACATTTGGTTTATCAGCATTTTAAACTAAATAAAGGTTTAAAAAATATAAACCCAAGTTTAATTATTATACCAATTTTAAATTAACACCTCCTGGTATATTTATATAGAATCGAAACAGTAGAACGGTTTTTTCTCAGTACTCAGCAACGAAGCCCAACAGCGCCGCAAATCTTAAGTGAAAATAAATAATTCACACCTGCAACAATCTGAGGGACGGCAGCCGACACACACACACACACACACCTATAGAGGAACACATATACATACACCGAAGAGATAGACATACAATTACCAACTTGCGGTGTAAAACTTCAGTCTCGAACTCTCGGCTAAATTGCGGTTTAAAGTTGAAGGCAGCACAGCAACAACAATCGACCTGGACGCGGAGGTGGCGCAATTACGCCATTAACATTAACTAAAGGCGAGCCAGAGCTGGGGGAATTCCCTGTCAGGAAGCGGGAACCCGGAGCGCAGGGAATAACCGGGGGAGCAACAATGCCAGGAGCCAAAAAGTTTTATTTTCTAAGAAATTAAGACTTAATTGGTAAAAACAGCAGCAACAACAATGTCGGCAGCAAGACAGACAATAAGGACGACCGACGAGAGCCCCAGATATCGAGGGGGTGGCGGCAAAAACCAACATCAATGAAAAGTTTAAGCAAAACAATAGCAGGCAAGTAAACAACGTCGATGAATGTTGCTTGAGTGCTCTCAAAAAGCTGAGAAGCCACTAGCGTTGTGTACGAGTGCCATGTCTATGTACATTTCATATATATAAAAACTTATTGTTGGCAGCTTTCTTTCGGCCATGAGAAAAACGCTCTGCAATAGTTGTTACCCATACGCCACGTTGAACACAGCAATAAATCGAAAACACAGAAATCCAATAACAAGAGTACTCACTGAGAAAAGAACAAAGTTCGATCATAAAAGTATAGAGCTCTGCTGGCATTATTCGTACAATATTGCTTACAAAAGGGAGTATTTTTTAGAGGAACTTATAGACAGATCCCTTTTCCTTTTTAATTTCCTTATTATCAATTTAATTCTTCAAAAAATATAATATTATCTTGAGTTTATTTATGGTGTACAATAATAGTTCGGCAATCCTCTGACTGAAATCGCCATTAAACTAACCCTCAAAAATATAGAAGCTAAAAGCAAGCATCGGGGACAAAGGCAACGCGACAAAGCCAAGAGGCGCTGTTTAATTATTATACGACAGCAAAAAATGTTGGCTCAGTCCGGCCAGAGAAGACGGCAAATTAAAGACATTAAAACTTTTAATAGCTTAGGCGGCCTTATCAAGGACGAAGCGCGATAGCAGGACAAAATCGGTGGGGCGGAACGGGGCGAAGGCTACAGCCACAGACATGCAGAGAGACAAGACAAATTAAAACATGTCTCACAGGCACAAGAAGATATAACAAAATAAACAACAAGAACAAGAACAGCAATAAGCAGAGCAAATAACAATATCGCCGCGAACAACATTAATAATATCAGTCAGCGACTGGCGACGTAATTATATTCGGATTTACTGAGCTGAACTCGCCGCGGCTTTACCTTGAACCCCACCCCGCCCGCGACTCTTCTAAAAATACCAAACAAGATTTTTGAAGAAGAAAAAACAACAAATAGCCTTCGGTTAACAATTTACATAAGTAATGCACATTCGCATTACGCATCCGCTCCGTTAGCGCTGCCCGAATAAAGTTACGTATACGCCCCGCTGCCGCTGCTCGAATTAAGTTGAAAACCTATTTTTACGCTAGGCTCATTGCCTCCATTCCACTTTTCAGCGGGCGAATTCGAATCCCAATGCGAATGGGAATGCGGTCATGTTGGCGTTGTTTATGGGGCTCATAAAGTACGCGGGCCAAAAGTAAGTAATAATCGCCAGCATTTGCCATATTTCACAGGCAAATAAACTGCTCGACATTGCCGATGAGGGTGGTGAATGGTGAATGGTTTGCTGTGGGTGGCTTTTTCGCCCCAAGGTTAGGCAACAGAAATGTCATTTAGCAATTACATAACCGAGTAAACTGGCAGAGGGGAAGGAGTTGAAGGGTGGCGTCTTCTCATCCAAGTATTTGCGCAAAAAGTCGCTCCCTCGAACTGTGCGCAATACTCAATGTCAGGCAATTTCACATCAAATTTGGCGTCAATATCAATTACCAGGACGAAGGCACGCCAACTGGCCGGAAATGAAGGCATTTGTCCAGGACTCACAATGGCTGGCAAATAATTGCAAAACTAGCAACATGACAATCCGATGGCGAGCAAGGATCGAGAGGCTGGGCCACCGGAGGACACGACCAGGCTCCTCGGTGGGGCCTTGAAAATTTATCTGCGTTCAATTAAAAACTTTTCAAATTTCAATTAAATGTGAAATTGGCATATTTAGGCGCTTGATGAACGGACGAGCCGACGAAACGGAATCAAATGAAATGATGGCAATGGAAGGACGACGAACCGAAAGGACTCAAACTTGGACTCGGACTCGGACTCGGTCACGGTCTCGGCGAAGGCAAAGAAGAGTGGAAGGACCATTTAGCATTCACCATTCGCCTGGCATAACTAAGCTTGGGGGATTATTTTGTCAATTTTAAATGTCCTGCCATTTACAGCATTCAAATTCAACTCGCCTTTGTTGTGCTCTCCCGGCTTGTTGTAGAAATGTTTATGAAGCAATTAGGGGCTCTGAACTGTGAACAATGCGCCGAAATGACTGCAACGGAAATTTAAAGACCCCCCCCCCCAAACTCTAATGCCCGGAATGCCCGGGACCTCGAAAGGGTTTCCCTTTGGCTTTAAGCATTGTGCCGGCTCATCGTGACTGCAAAAAGATTAGAATCCTGTTACGCCTTTGCCTGATTTTGGGCCTTTGTTGGAGGCCCAAAGATGACTGGCCTTGCCTTTTGAAGGCAAACAGGACCGGCCTCTGGAAGAAGTCAGCTTGTCATGCTTGGACCGCCTCGTCTTGGCCATTATCCTTACTAGCTGGTAAATCCTGTTCCATTACACACTTGGCGTTGGCCTGTTGTTTTTCCCCAAACTTAACACGTGTTTAAATGCGCCAAACTTCAGAGACGGCTCTAGATAGTTTTAGAGCAACTTAAGAACCACCAACAACATAGGTTTACAGATAGAAAATCGAAGCTTTAAAATGATTAAAAATTAAATATAGAAGTGTTTGAATAAGAATACATTTTATCAATTAAGAAAACTTTGATGTGCATAAATATAAATTAAGCTTACTCTTCTAAAACCTAATTTTAACAACCTTTTACAACAAAACGTGTTTCTATCATATAGAATTTTCAACAGTGTATTACATCTTACCTTGGCGCGCATCTGGGCAAGCACTTGGTAAATGTCGCCTCGCTGGCACGCGTACATGAGGCTGGTGCAGCCCTCGGCGAGACGCTTTTTTGCGGCGGCCGACTGTGACGGCAACAGCAACTGCAACTGCGACTGTGACACCGAGTCCTGGCCAGTATCTGGCTTTGGGTGGGTCCTTGGCTCGGTCTGAGGCTCGTTGTTTGTTTCTGGCACGTCCACTGCTGCTTCCGCTGCCGCATCCTGTCTGCTGTCCGGCATAGCAATGACTTTGTCTGCCTGGGGATGCTGCTGCTGCTGCTGCTGCTCCCGCTTCTGTTCCTGCCCATGCCCCTGCTTGGCGCGTGTCCTTCGCGGCAGCGGACTCTCGAACTGCAAATACTTTTTCGCGGCCTTCAGACGCGGCGGCTTCGGAGGCCCCGTGGTCACGTCGCCCACTTCCGGTTTCGGACGCTTCTGCATCCTCTAATGCGGTTAGCAGCGTTCTCTGACCCGTTTTACCCGCTGCTTTGTGTTTGTCTTTGTGCTGGTGGTGTCTCTCGCAGGATTTTTCACTCATTTTACGCCGCTTTGAAGCATTTTTTGCCCGTATAATGAATCGCGGCTGATGCTACGGCTGCTGCTGGTTGGCTGGGTCGGCCCCGACTGCCTTTGCGTCTATGTATAATTAAACACTAATTTGTTTGCTCACAACTGGCTCGGTTAGGGCTGCTGCCTGAATGCGGGTCCTTCTTACCGCCGATAGTTTGCGGTTGTCGTTGACAGTTTCGCTAGTTCAAAGTAAACACATTCTGCGCTTTTAAGCGGAAACGGAAGTGAGCAGTGTGCGCGAGTGTGCAAGTCTCTGTGTGTGTGCCGCTTTCACTCGAACGCCTTTTAAATTTTCAAGAGGCGAACGCAAAAGCAACATCCGCGGCAACGTCCTCGTCAATAATTAATTTCGGTTTTTATCAAAGAGTGAACAACGCACACACACTCAGAGAGAGACACACACACACACACATTTCGCTGTCTCCATCAGGGGAATACTCCGCCGACTCAGCGGCGAAATAGACAGCTAGAAACCAGGCTCTGGCTTCTGGCACATATGGACCATCATTCCACCTGGCGAAAGCCACCTCCCACCTGCCCAATCGCCCGTCATCCCAGCAGCCAGCCAGCTCCCTGCTGTGCGCAAGGGCGTTGACAGGAGCGCGGCGTGTAGCGCACTAAAGTATGCCATGAAAAATTCAATGTCTCTGCATTTGATTTAAATTTCCCTTTTCACACATACGCACGCCGCACATTTCACGCGATATCAAAGTGAATTTGGCTGTTAAATCGCGTGGAAAATAGTTTTCGAATAACGGAAAGCGCCACCGCAGCGGAACGGAAATTCCATGCTTATTTTTAGCCACAAATAATAATCATGTGGCTGCGTCCGCGATGCTTAAGTTAAGTCCTCGCTCGCTCCCAATTCGACTACTATAAAGGGAAATCTGCGAAAACCTATCGCATTGATTGCAACTCGAAATTAAATTATATAAACACAAGAGCTCGAATGCGAATTGGATTGGTTTTGGTTCGGTTTGGTTTCGGTTTGGGAGAAAGGAAATGGAAGCGAAAGGCTCATTGATGGCGATTGCCGGGCATTAAGCTCGATCCGTTCGTTGCCTTTGCAGGCGATTCAGGCTCCTCCGCCTTCACAGCCTCGGATTTACATTTCATTTGTGAGGACTACGACGACGACGACTGATGCCAACTGGCGAGATGGTGATGATTTTGGCAAGGTTTACGAGGCGTTGAACAGCCCACCACTCCTCCGCGAAAGCCACGGACAGACGACAGGCATCGGGCTTTTAATAAATTAATAATAAAAAGGAGACGCAGCAGTTGGTGGGGAAATGCAATAAAATTTAACTTTTCTCTACCTCCCGGCTCGAAGTTTGAGCTCCATTAGTCCGAGGAGCCGAAAATGATGACTACGTGGTGGAGTAATACACAAAAAGAAGGGTCTGGCATATCTTTATAGATATAATTGGCTTATGAAAGCGAAAGAAAATTGGAAATAATTTAAATAGTTCAAGGAAAGCTTTCATTTTGCAATGCTCTCTATCTTTAATTTATTAGAATTTCATTATAAACTTGATTTATTTTCCTACTTCCTACTTTTTTTTAGGTGTAAAAGCCTAAGTAACGAGCCAACTTTTAGGCCAATTGAGAAAATTTCAAAAATTGAGAGGCATCCGGCAAGGGCCTGCCTCAGATAATGCAAGTGGGCTAAAAGCCTCAGGGGTAAGCGGTTGCTGGAGAGCATTCAGACTGCGGACCGAATCACATTATTGCCAAATGGCAATTAAACCCAAAACACAAACTCACACACAGATGCATCTGGGCATTATGGACAAACACAGACAGAGCATGTGTGAGGATATGGGCATCATAATCATTAAACCGTTTTATAGTATGGTGTCGCCATAATTATTCTATTATTAAGTACCAAAACATTTGTCATGCCGGCCGTGCCCGGAATTGCTCGCATATTTGTAGTAGCTGCTGCTGCAGCTGTTTATAAATGATTAAACCTGGCCAACACAGTGGTCCTTGGTTCCCGGCCCTTGGCCCTGACCGAATGTATATCCTTGTGGGCACACCGATTGTCTGTGATTGTGCGGTGGCCGCCTCAACCATTCAAGTGCGTTGGTGTGCGGTGTGTTCCGGTGTGTGTGTGCCCGTGTGTGTGCCTTGCTGTTAAACACAAACTTAGCCGCTCGGCAAATAAACATTTTAGCAAATTTACTGCCAACTGACAGCTGTCAGCTTTATAACCACCATCAAACAATACGGACAGCGGGGATTGGGTTCGGGTTGCTGGGATGCTGGAAGCGAGGTATGCACAGACCGCAACGCTATTTGCCAGGTGAGAGAGACAGAGAGAACTGCGACAACTAAGCACACACAACAAGGCTCCCTCACACACTCACACACTGGCAGGTGTCCTGGCCAAAGTAGCTGAGCACACACACCAACACATACGCGAGTTGGAGAGGACAGGCAGAGCCAGGCAGTTTCGCCCACTTAACACTTCATTGAAAAACCACTTGGAAAGCCACTTCACCCACGAGGGCAGAAAAGGAAGCTACACTGCAGAGTAAGTCCTAACTAAGGTCCTAGGGTGCAATTTTAAATTTAACCTTTTGATTTAGTAAAATAGTAATTATCACCTCTCCTGCAATAATAAAAAATAGTCTTTTAGATAAATCTTTTCTCTCAGCAATCTTTAGAAATTTTTCTGATTTAAGCTCAAATTTTTCTCAGTGCTTTAAGCCTGCTCAGCAGCCCTGTAAATGAACTCTTCCCAGCACAACATCAACTGCATCCCTTTGTTTGGGATTTCTGGCCCTGGCTCAAGGCACCTGGCGATCCGAGCTCGACTTTGGCATTCTCCAGGTTAATCGCGAGAGAGAACGGGCCAAAGCAAGGCATTCCGGTCAATTCCGCCCCGGCTCAAAGCATTCCACCTCCGTTCAAGAGAGCGAGCGTGCGCTGTCCACTGCATGTGGCATACACAAAAATAAGCAAAAAAAAAAAATAAAATAATACGAGTATCCACAAGTCCCTGATGTTGTCGCAAAAAGCTCACACAAAATTCTTGGCATAGCTCAGAAATTCGCAGCTGCTGCGGTGCGTTTGAGCCCCGCGATTTGTTTCACTTTTGGCACATTCCGGCTTATTACACGAATTTGCACAGATTTTGTAGCGAGCGAGAGGCAAGTGGCGCTGGACATGGCCAGGCACTGCTGGAATCTCCGGCGCAACTGGCGGCCAGGTGAGTGGAGCGGCGGGCGGTGCGGCAGTTGCGTTGGCCAGCCGTAGTGGTGGGCCGAGCGGTGCATGCTCCGTGTTATTGTGTTGGCCACCGCCAACATGGTTGCCATGGCACGAGGGCACAATGGCCACTTGCTGGCTCACGCGTCGGCACTCGGCCCGCTTGCGTGTCTGACTAGTCCAATCAGCGGCCAAAGTTTACAAAAGTTTGGTGGCATAATTGGGTTGATTCCCTCGCCATTTATTGGTTTTCGATTCGACAATCATGGCCAGAAGGCTACAAGGCAACAGAGCAGAGCTGCCAAAAGGATATATTGAAATTGAGGATTGATTGCTAGAGAGAAATATATTAAAAAGTGACCAGGATGACACCACAAATGATAGAAAAAAGTACAAACAATGAAATAAATTTTAAATTAAGCCCTTTTAATTGATAGAGTTTTTAATTTAAATTATGCAATCAAATAAAACGTTGTTTTACTTATTATTTATTCATTTAATTATACATATTTTTTATGAAATCTTCAAACTGCCATCACAGCTGCAGGACCCATTGACGAAATCTGGATCCAGTTGTCACAGCCTGTCGATTGGCAAATTGAAATCGCCCACGAAAGCTGCCAAAACAAAGGTCCTTACAGCTGACACCGAGGGTTAAGCGTTTAGATTTCAATTAAGCCAAAAGCCTCGCACTCGCATCCCCTACGGCACTCAGAAACACTAAGGCAAAACGTTACAGCTCATAAATTCCTTGACTTGTGTCAGGATGTGTTAGTTTGGCCGACATTCCACTCGTCCTGGCGGCAACCAGAGAGCCAAAGCCAGCAAAAAGTTCCCAGTCGTGGCCCGTCAAAGGCAGCCAGGCAGTGAGGCAGTGCTGCGAGTATATGGCAGGCAGTAACCGGAGGGTTTCCCAGCAAAAGCCAAGTCAGTAGGAGCAGCAGCCGCAGTACCAGCAGTAACCCCTGCTAAGGCGGCCAGTCACTTAAATGCCCCAGAAATAAACTGAAACTGCACACAGTGTGCACAAGTTAAGACAACTTTTGGCAGCTGCAGTTGAGCACACACAAAGGGCGCAATGTTGCCGCTGAGAGGCGAACTCGGCATGCTCTTTATCAGCCGCTGATTGGCAGGGTTTTAAAGATGACTGTCGCAAGTCCTAAACCGATTTTTTGGGAAATCTTCGACTACAAAATCTGTGTGATTGTCAAGTATCTTTACCCATTTATTTTTCTTAATATTACTTTTCCAAATATATGTGAACGATTTAATGTCAAAATAAAAGCAAACTTTAAAGTAAAGTTCTGATTTCAGCTCGGAATTTGTTTGGCTGACAGCCTGAAAATTGTTACATAAAATGTACAGTTTATGAAACATATTGCGGTAACTTGGAAAAACTGTGCTAAAAACTCTGACAATTTGGGAAGTCTGAAGGGTTTCCAGATAAACTTAGGTCGCCGGCAAGTATGTTACTGCTTTGATCCACTCCCAGATTGTGTTACACTTTTTCGTCCATGCTCGAGGCGTGGCCAGAAGCGCTGACATTTGCCGTAGCGCAGGTCCCTTAATTAAAGTGGGTCCCCAGCCGGAATCCAAATCTGGCTATCTGGTAATCCGAAATCCGGAACCCATGGTCCCCAGCACCTCCACCCTTT